ATTTCTGAATTGGTGTATTATAATTATATGTAAAATTGGAATGCATTGTATTATATTCATGCATGCACATAGCATAATTTGGTTAACTTCATTACCCAATTTTTTCTGTTTCCCTTCCCCTCAGTGGTCCCCTATTTCTATTCTCTTGCTCTTTCTTCTATTTTTTATGAGATCCTGTTGTATAAATTTCCCTTTCTTATTTTTTTTAATCCTAGGGCACCTAGGATTAAAGTGAAATAAGCTAAGTGAAATAAGCTCATCCCCCAAAACCAAAGGTTGAATGCTCTTCCTGATGTGCGGATGCTGACACACACAAGGGGAGAGGGAAAGAATAGAAGTTCAGTGAATTACACAAAGGGAAATGAAGGAAAGAAAGCAGAAATAAAAATAGGAAAGATAGTAGATTGAATGGGACATAACTTTTCTGTGTTCATATATGAATAAATAACACACTCAATATAAATACAGTATATCAAATTATACTCTAAAGTCATATATATCTAAAAAGAATAAAAAATAGAATGATTATTAAAAATACTTTTCCCTCTAGTTTTCACATAAGAGAGAAAAATTCAACCTTTGACTTTCGGAGTCAAATTTATTGCATTTGGCATGAAGTACAACAGTTGTTTTTGAATCCATGCCTAACACAACACAGGGATCACTTGTGGGCTTGCTTCTGTTGTATAGTTTTTCATTTGTAGCATATCATTTACATATATAAATATGTAATGTTATTTATACTTGTTTCAATATGTTATTGTTTGCTTTACATATTATAAAATGCATGCTTAATACATCACACTCTATCTTGAAATTCTTTGCCATTTATAAGAAACTTCCAAGAATGTATTTTCATTTCTCCCTGTCTCTTGTAGTATTCCAATTTTACATATAAATATGATAAAAATTATAGAATTAATTTCTAATATTCTTCCTTTAAACAATTAGCTATGTTTTAATGAAATGTGAAAACTCAAGCAAAACTTGTCTTTTCTGTTTTTCCTCATAATAAGTACTTGTGGTCCATTAATTAGTTTATGTAGATTGGTGATTTTCTCAGTGATGATTTTGACTTCTTAGGAGATTTGGTAATATCTATAGGCATTTCTGATAGTCTCCTCTAGGCTTGGGTGGAAATGATGCTCCAGTTGTCTAGTTGATAGAGACAGAAATGATGATAATGCTCTGCAATAGCAATGACAGTCACTTCCACAAAGTATTATGGGTTCTCCATAATAGCTATGTTCTGACATTAAGTCAATAGTCACAGGATAGAGAAACTTAGGTTAAATTCATGCATCCACACTAAATACAGAAGGGCTGTACTGTAGGTTGTCCATTAAGGGATAATCTCAGTTCTTATTTGTGTATAAAATTCTTAATTTCACCTTGATTTTTGAAGTATATTGTCACTAGGCATTGAATTCTACATTGAGAATATTTTATTTTAGGACCTTAAAGACCTTTTCCATTTTGCATAATTTTTATCAAGTCTTTAGTTATTATTCTACTATGGGTAACATATATATCTTCACAGGCTATTTTGAGATATTCCCCTTTGTCTCTGGGTTTCAGAAATTTGAATATTGTATGTCTTGATTTGATTTTCTTTCTGTTTATCCTTCTTGGGCTATATTGAGATTTTTAAAGTCATAAAGATACTATCAAGTTTGAAAAATGTTTTGCATTATATCTTTCAATATTTTGTTTCTGCTCTCTGAACTTCTAGAACTCCAACTACATTCATGGTAGACTACTTTCTAGTTCCCTACTCATGAATTAAATGTATCTGTTATTTCATGTGCCTATTATTTTTCTTGTTCAATGCTAAATATTTGGAATTATACGTTTTTGAGTAATGGGTTTTGTTGCATTATTAAAGCATACTGGACTTTAGCCAATAAGCAATGAAACTAATGACACAACAGCTTATCTTATAAAATTTGTTTTAGATTATTTTAGGACAGTTTTAAAGTAATCCTCACTCTAGAACTAGTTTAGTATTATCATTTTTGTATCATCCTTTAAAATTCTCTGTTGAATATATCATGTGTCAAACAAGAAAATGTGCAGGTCTGCATGAATTTTGAAAAATATTTTGCTTATATTTCTCATTAATTTTCCATCACTCATGTTGTTATTTACCTGGATTCATAAGAGTTTTCTCCTATAAAAGTAGAGATTGCCATTCAAGAAAAAGCTCAAATGGTCTTTTTTTACAATTTACTGAAAATAATTCTCAGCTTAGATGCCCTGGCACCCTGATCTGCAAATTCTAGCCCCTTTAGTCTCCTATAATTCAGTATCTGTCTTATGTATTCAATGAAATTACTAAGCCCTGTTTGATTTCCTTTTTCTTCACCATAGATCAGAGATTGACCTCAGGCAGAAAGATAGGTTGTTAGAATTTTTTTTTATTTGTATACTATTTTTCAAAACATCCACTTTTTACCTAGTCTCTGAAAAGTTCTTAATGTATTTCAATTTCAAGTCAAGAAAACAGGGATCATCCTGTAGCACTTACCTCTTTAGGAGCAGAAATAGAAATCTATTGTCTGTATATTTATCTCGGTTTTCAGGCACTTTATTTTATTTCCTTGTTTCCTTGTATGTTATCCTTGTGAACATTTTATCCAAAACAAATCACTGAATCTGAAAAATTGTTGAGGCTGAAGGTAATGTTTTTTATTTCGGAAAGAATTTGATTGATTTCTGGTAATTAAGCTAGAGGAAGATTGTAACCTATACTTACACGAATAGATTACTGTAAATTCAATTGTATCATACATATAAAACCAAATTTTGTACAATTGTTTTATATATA